GCACGCACTCTGCTGATCACACCCCGCACGCACTCTGCTGATCACACCCCGCACGCACTCTGCTGATCACACCCCGCACGCACTCTGCTGATCACCACCCGCACGCACTCCAGCCTGGGCATCTACCTCATCCACTCCAGCTTTACCATGGCAGAACTCTTTGCCATGTCCGGATTCTACCTCGTCGACGCGTCCCTAAAGACTGGCTTGAACGCAGCAAACGAGTCGGTGCGCCTCATCGACGGCATCTTTGGCTCCAACGAAACGAGTCGAGCGCTGGCATCCTTCATTGGTCTTGTACGTCGCGAGCTGCTCTCAGACGAGGAGTATGCAGCGGCCACCGGCGGTCACTGGTGGGGTCTGGCAGCACTGACAAAGGCCTTGACGACATTTGCCGTCGTGCAAAACGCAACGTATCGCAGAACGGCGCATACACACCGCATGCGCGTGCTGTACGATTGCACGCTGCTAGGAGAGGCAGAGTATCGCGGCTGGAAAGCTAGCGCCTTGATCGTTGGCCCAGGCAACTTCAACAAAGCCAAGTCCAGTCCGCACACCACCAAAGCATTGCCTGCTCCTCCCAGCGCCGAGCCTCTGACCCCACCCACCGAAGGCTTGCTTGCATCCATCAAGGGGCGCTTTTCTCGTGATGTGACACCGAGACCAGAGATGGCTGCTCGCAGATTGTCCCGCGCATCCTTGCTTTCCGGAACTGGCTTTGAGGAGCCCTGCTTTACGGATGTGACCTCACCGCGTCGCCCAGACTCGCTGCGCTTGTCTCCTCGCCAAGCAGCTAGACAGACCGACTCTGTCACTCACGACTTGCAATTCCTGGTCGGCGCCGAGTGCGACAGCCAGAGTGAGAGCGATGACGACACGGTCGCTTCGACCGCAGGGACCGTCTTGGGACGCACCAAGATGCAGCGGAGCCAGCTACCCCGCGACGTCCAACGCGTCATTTCGAATGCGGACGATGCGGGGCTGCGCAAGGGCGTGGTGCTGGAGCCTGCATCAGCGTCAAAGGCTCCAGTACGGCAGGTCGTCAGGAGACAAGGACCAAAGGGAGCGCGAGAAGAAATTTTCGAGATTACGACAGAGACTGTGGAAGTGGTGGAAACGACCACAACGGTTCAACAAGGCGCTTCCAAGCCTGCTCAGTCTGGGCCTTTCGGATTCCGCAAAGCGAGCCCTTTCAAGGCTTTGATGGGTCAGTCTGCGTCTCCTGCGCGTCGACCTCAGGTGACACGAGATGATGTCGAGGATGACTTGCGGGATTTGACACTGCGCGAGCGCGAGGAGCAACAGATTGCAGAGGAAGAAGATTGGACTCAGATTTTGAGCACGCCTCGTGGAGCTGCTGCCGCTTTCGCCAATGAGAATCGCGATGGGGACGATGCTCACAATTCGCAAGTCGTAGAGCTCCTGCACAGTGCGATGGATGACGGTCGCATCCCCACGGAACCGAACGGTGGTCCAGCAGCTTCGATCGCCGCGCGCTCTCGCTCAGACATGCTCGAGCAGCCGGATCAAGCACGTCAGCGACTTCAAGTGACGCTCAAGACAATGACGCGCAAGCTGACGCAGAGGAAGCGGGTCATTCGACGTCTTGATACCGAATACGATCAAGATGAAGGACTAGTCGCAGGTCCAAGCAGCGACACGCCGTCGCAAGCTTCAAGCTCAAAGTCCGGATCTGCAACCCAACTTGATCACATCAAACACAGAGCTGAGCAAGGCAAGTCAGCCAGGACCACATTTGGCTTGCAAGACGCCTTCACACGGAGCAAGAAAGCAATGCCAACTCCTGTGCAAAAGGACGAGGCGCCGAAAACGCTCGGTCTTGGACTGCACGTCTCTGGTGAGCAGACAGCTGCTGCGACGAATCAGAGTCAACCGCGGTCGAGTCAGCGGGACTCGCGCGACTCGAATGTGCAACTTTCAGCCTCGTCGAACCGCACGAGAAGCGGGCTTCGAGACTCGCGGCAGCAGCCTCAGGCGCCGCCTAGAGGAAATTCCAAATTACGCAGTGGCCACTCCCACGCCCTTCAAGACGATGCGCACAAGATGCTCCCCGAGCCTCCCGCATCGAAGCGAAGGTCGCGAGCTCTGTCGATTACATCTGTGCAGTCCTTTAGCTCTCGCATACACACCTCGACGACCTCCAGCACTCCCCGTCAAGGAGAAGAAGAGTATGGGCCTGGCTCCTCTTATACCCTCTTCCCAAAGCAGCATCTGGTGACCAATCTGCGGCGTTTCATGCGCCACGCAAGTGCGGCCTACGGTCAGGTGCGTTACCCCTCGGCAGCGTCTGCAATGGCGAAATCTGCTGACGCATATGATGCTGCGCCCGCAAGAATTTCATGCGAATCTTTGGGATTGGCGAAGCAGACGTCATCTTTGGCGATACAACGAAGCACCATTCCAACGTCTACAGCTTTTGGTGAGAATATGCGCTGCTGCACGCTCGCATTGCTGCACGCTTGCATTGCGACGCTGACTTGCCCCCCCTCCCAGCCACCACGTGGGCATTCCCACAGACCACGTCCTGCTCAGCTCTTACACCGAGGGTGGCGAAGCGCCCTTCCATAGCCCCGACATTCCACCCGTAGTCAATTACGTCAGCATCGACGACGTCTCGAAAGCCATCGTTCTCACCTGCAGAGGCACGTTGGGACTCTCTGACATCTTGACAGATCTCACGTGCGAGTTTGAAGATACTTGGGTGGATGGCGGCAGACCGGATCACGTCTACAAGGTGCACGCTGGCATGGCTGCTTCAGCCAGACGCCTCGCCTCCCCTGGCACCACGGTCCACAAAACGCTGCGTCTGGCGCTCGAGAGCAGGCCAGACTATGGTCTCGTGCTGACAGGGCACTCGCTAGGGGCAGGCGTCACCTCCATGCTCGCGCTCGATTGGAGCTCCCCAGCAGACGTTTTTCAACAACGCATGCTCGCTCGGCCAGAGGATGCCGCAGACGTCCGTCATCCTCGCATCTATACGCCTTTCGTCACGTCCCTCGATTCTGGTCTGCCAGCTGGTCGTCCTATCCACTGCTTTGCATATGGTCCACCCGCCATCATGACGCCAGATCTGAGTCGTTACTGCCGAGGTCTGATCACATCCGTGGTGCACGCGTTTGATATTGTGCCTTGCTTGTCGCTCGGCACTCTGCACGACCTGAAACGCGTTGCTGCGTCGTTGAGTCACGAGCAAGAATCAGCCATGGCCCAAGAGGTGCTCGGTCGAGTCGTCGGCCTGTACCAGCGGCGTCGCCGTCTCCAGGGCGATGTTCCGACGTCGAATGCACAGGGAGCACCTGCGATAGACGCTACGCCTCGGCCTACGGACGTGCCTCTCCACGAACGAGAGCAAGAGCTGGAGCTGAAAGAGCTCGCTGCTGGCAGACCGCGCAACAGAGCTGGTGATCCCGGCTACAAGGACCCTCGTTTGACCGTCGAGCCAGAAGAAGCGACGAGCGCGCCTACCGACAGTACGGACGGAGATTTGACAGATTGGCTGTGGTCGCTCATAAAGACGATGCGCGCGGACATGTCTTCCCTCAAGCTCGTTCCTCCGGGCCAGGTGCTTTGCATCGAAGCTTGGGCCGTTTACGTCACGCCAAAGACGCGCGGCGGATCCACGTCGATGCGCGGACCCGAGGCGGCGGATAAACAGCAGTCCGAGGCGCATCGAGTCGTCTTGCGACAATGCGAAGACGTCGAGAAGCGATTTGCGGAGCCCATCTTTGCCAGATCGATGATTCGAGATCACGTCCCCACATCTTGTGAGTGTCGGCGCGTCGAGCCGCTCTTCAATTTTCGAACGCTGACGGTGACTTGCGCAACGCAGACGAGCTCTGCACGCAGCTGCTCTTTGACAGCGTTATCTCGCAAGAGGAGAGGGAGGAAACGGACCATCGCGAGTCAAGAGGAGAGTCTTGAGGTGGCGAGGGGCACAGCACCATCCGACGGTTACGAAGCTCGTTGAGCCAGGCTCCTTTCATCTGTAATTTTACATCTAGACCGCACTTTGTTGTCTTCATATCATCCCTTGCTCGCACATCACTGTGGCAGCTTTAGCACAGCACTAAGGATACCTCCTGTGAATATTCCCGTGGACTCGTGGTACAGCACGACGCACTGCTCACCTCGCTGCTCACGTGACTGCTAGTCACGAAACAAGAATAGTACTCACACTCAAGACTGTGACTCATCACACTCACACTCAAGACTGTGACTCATCACACTCACACTCACACTCACACTCTGACTCGAGACTACTCTGCTGCCGCCATTTGGGGCCTGCGTGACAAAGCTGCATGAAAGCTCGATCGAAGGAGGGTCAGGCAATCTGAGCGGTGCACGCCACGCTTAGCTTTGCGCCCACGCTTCTATACATGCATGTGCGCGGTCAAATTTCGCGTGCGCACGCGTGAGATTGACTTGCAGGAGCGGTCGTCATCCTCCGCCATGATGCGGAGAGCACGACTTGGACCCCAAACTGGCGGCAGCAGCGCCGATCTCGTCTTGCTTCCCATACGCACACTCACTCGCTTACTCGCGACTCTCCAATCGAGCCAGTCGAATGCCACATCCCGTATTCAAACGGATCTGCAATGCTTCCTGAAAGTCAACCGGCTGGCAGGGCACGCTTGAGCTGCGCACCCTGGTGAGTCTGGCTCGACGCGAATGGCGAGGGGCCAACCCCGCCTGACCATCTGCAGCGGCAGCATTTCAAGCAGCTCAACGTGACACGCTCTCTCGCTTGATATTGCCCCAAATAGTCGCAAACGCAAATCCAAGTGCGATGAGGGCTCGGTGAGTGGGATCGAAGGCTCCGCATCAAGCCTTTTCAGCGCATACAACCTGCTCAACTCACCGATCTGTTGTTGTGCACGCCCCCCCCCGCGCAGCCTTGCTCGTCCTGCGTCACGCACGCCACGACCGACGCGTGCCAACCGCCCACAGCGTCTACAAGTCGAGCTGGAGCCAAGCAATCCCGTTTGCCGCACGCGTTGGCAGCGACGTTGCAGCAAACAGGCACCAGCAACAAGCGAGCGCGAAGGGATTCTGGCTCGCGCGCAGCTGGAGTGCAGAGCTCGGAAGCAGTGGGTCACGAAGATGTGATCGAGCAAATGGACAAGCTTCGAGAGGAAATGGACAGGCTCAGGAATAGGCTGGTGGAGAGACAACGTCAGAGCGAGCAGCAGCAGCAGCAGCAGCAGCAACGAGCATCTCCAGTGGACGACATGGTCCAAGGCCACCTGCCTGCTAGACAACATCCCAACCCTCTGCCACCGCGAGACGCTAAGCTGCAAGCTCTCGTGCGAACCATTTTTCCATCGCAGAGCGATTGCGAGGTGCTCCTAGAGTACGTCATGCAAGAGGTGAGTCACGAGCGTTTTATGGCTTGAGTAAGGTCGTACTCTCGCGGCTGAGGCCTACTCTTCCGTTGCGCAGCCCGAGTGGCTGGTGAATTGCGTGACGTGGCAGTGGATTTTGCCCATTTGGTCCAGATTAGTGTATGGCTGCCGAGTGAGACAGGTAGAGGTTGCCATCCTAGCTGGACTCCTCACCGTCAGCTGCGTGCTCCTAGACGAGACGCCGCACGTCTACTACGAGCTCAGTGCGCCTCCGGTCGTCTTGCAAAAGCCGTTGCTCGACTTTTTGTGCGAATTTGTCAAGAGCCACGAGCAGCCGGCTCCGCACGTCAATAGGCCGGACGATCCCGAGCTGCTGGACAATCTCATCGTGTATGCCCTGGTGGCAGAATTTATGCGCATAGCAGGCAGGCGAAAAGCGGAGCTTGGCGCTCTTTCGAAAAAGGTCATTCGCGCTTCCATGCAGCGCTCGGGCTTCATGGACGAATCCTCGCTCGCCTGGTCCAGGTTTGATGATCTCGAGCGACAGACTGCTCGACGAGTAGCTTGGCACATTTTGATCTGCGAGAGGTGAGTCGCGCTTCTCTTCCACCGCAGCGCTTCCACTGCTCACACGCGCGCATACATACACCTTCGCAGGTGGGCAAGCATCTACGTGCCTGTGCCGTCGCCGATCGAGCTGCGCAAGGAACACGTCAAAGTTCAACATCCACGCTGGAAGACTGGCCATCTGACGCGCCCCTTCCGCGCCCACCGGGATGCAGCCCTGTCGCAGGAAGAGCCGATCGTGTTGCGAGCACCTGCGCGCAACGTGCCTCGCGTGTTCAGGCTCAAGGCGGACGATGAAGACGACGATGTGGCAAAATTTGGCGAATTGATGATATCCGTTTCCGCCATCACACCCGACATTGGCAGCTACCTCTCAGCCGTCACTGCGTGGCGAGCATCGGTCAGCAACGACAGCTCTCCGTCGGACTCGGCTTCGACTTCCGCATCCGCTGCTCGCCGCGGGTCCGAACACAAACGCGAGTCGCTGCTTCACCAGGGCTTGGCGCTGTATGAAGAGGTTTCTACGTGGAAGGACGAGCTGCCGCAATTCATGCAGCAGCTCTACACACTGGATGGCAACGACTTTCACGCTTGCCGAAGGGCGAGTCAAGCAGCCATCGCGTTTACCGGCGCCAGATCGCTCATCACTGGCATTCTGAGCCCCTGGGTCACAGAACACGTGTACGAAGAAGGCGCTTCCCCCATACACCTCAAGATGCAGGGCCTGGCTGTAGCGAATGCCGAAGCGGTGGTCCGCAGCATCGAAGTGACGCGCACTTTGCTGTCCTGCAAGCGCGCAGTATACTTTGGATCCTGGGCTGCGTATTCCTTCTTCAATGCCGCTACCACGCTAGCGATTCCTTTGCTGGGCGCCACCCGGTTGGGTCAGGAGGCAAAAGGTACATCTGGTCGCCTGGCCAAGATTTTTGTCGGTTTCAACCAGACCAACTCCAATCCACAAGCCTCGTTGGCAAAGTTCATCAATGGCGTCCAGAACAGTGAGCGATCAGATTACTGCTTACCTAGCGACGGTCTTGACACGAGCAAGTCTGCCGGCGGATCCGGTGGGCAGCAAGCATCGGTCGCCGAGCACTTGCGACAACTCGCGCCAGACATTTTGCGCTTGTTGCATCTGCTTCCAGATCTACGCGGTAGCCCTCTGGGTCAGGAGACATCGCAGCGCATTTCCACCCTGATCGATACGTTCAAAATCAACCAACAGCCCACCACCTTGTCCACTCCTTCTGCGGCCGCCAGACCCATCGACTACACAGCGCAATCTTCCGCACAAGCGCCAATGCTCTCCACGCCAGGTTTCGGCTCGGACAGTGGTGTCTCTTTTGACTCGTTTCCCGGTCCTGCGCTGGTGGAGCAACAGACTCCATCTGGGTTTGGCGGCGTGGCAGATTGGAGGGATGTCCGGGGTTTCGAAGTGCTCGACTCGCTCGTCTCGCTCAGCGATGAGTGGTGGAATGACCTCATGAGGGGCGCTGTGCCAGCCAATGGTACCACTCCCAACCCTTCCCAACCCCCTCCTGGCGCTCCCCCTTGATCGCGTGCACGTACCTTGTTGTATATCATGACTAAGCTTCATCGCACAATCCTCGCCCCTTTCGCTGCAATCATCTTGATCACGTTTCGACGTCTCTTTAGCGACGATCAAGTGTGAGCGTGGATCACGCGCCGCAACAAGTCCGGCTTGCCAAGGCTCCGCGGCACGCTGGGTCAGCAGCGGCATGCCGAAGGGACGACGCATGCCGGCAAGCCGCGCGTCAAACGCAACGAACCATCATCGAGGCAAATCGAGCGCCACGATGTTCCTGCATGCATCATGACCGGGGCACTACGCGTGCCCGCCGCGGGCCGCCCAATGGCTGAGTTTTGGTTCTCTGGCGTCCAAATCCGATGGAACTCGATGTGAAAAGCGGATCGGGGCGCTGTTGCGATCGACTGAGTCAGCCGCACGTACGACGCCGCTTATGCTCTTGGCTGTTCCGCTGCGCGACGGAGACGTGCAATCAGGCCGTGATGGATGGATGGATGACCTGGCTGGAAGCAGAAGAGTCTTCCGACGTGAGCCCTTACATCATTTGCACGTCCTATCCCGTCGCAGTTGCGCAGGTTCCTCAAAATATATAAAGCCCACGACTTGCTTCGTGGTTCTTGTGGGCTTACGTGCTGCAACAACAAGCGCGCCAGCTTTGTGCCGACGCCACCGCGCAGCCTATCTCTAGCGAGCCTCTCTTCCTCTGCCACTCACGTGCGCGCACACAAACTCGCCCTTGCACACACACACACGCACACCATGACGTCCAACGATGTCAGCCTCAGCTGGCATGATCTCACATTCGACATTCCCATCCCTCGCAAGACGCTCAAAGCGCAGGCTCAAAAGGCGCAGGAGGAGGAGCGGCAACGCTCAGCCAACGCAGCTTCAACGGATGTGGAAAAGTCGGTCAAAAAAAGCGAATCATCGGCGGATGGCGTACCACCAGCCGTCACGCCTGCGCTCACTGCCACGAACTTGGCGGACGGGCATCGCAGGCTGCTCGACAATGTCTCTGGCTCTGTTCGACGAGGCGAAATGGTGGCCATCCTTGGCGCATCGGGTGCTGGAAAGACGACACTCTTAAACGTCTTGTCTGCCCGCCTGTCCAAACTTGGCAAGCTCGACGGTCAAGTGCTGTTCAATGGCAAATCACGCGACCCTGCCACTTGGAAGCGCACCGTCGGCTTTGTGGAGCAAGATGACTTGATGTTTGGAACGCTGACGGTGCACGAGCAGATTAGCTACTCTGCTAGGATGAGGCTGCCGGATTCCATGTACGATCGTCAGACGAAGATGGATCGTGTCGAAGACATTATCCGCATGCTCAGGTTGGAAAAGTGCAGAGACTCTAGAATCGGAGATGCGCGCACCCGCGGTATCAGCGGAGGGGAACGCAAGAGAACGAGCATTGGCGTGGTGAGCAGGCAAAAAGCACCATGAGCAAGTTTGCATCTAGTGGCCGACTCATCTCTTCCCTTTTTTCGTCTCGCTCCAGGAACTCGTGAGCGACGTGTCTCTGCTGCTGCTCGATGAGCCAACGTCGGGTCTGGATGCCTTTGCCGCCCACTCTGTGGTGGAGAATTTGCGCAATACGACCAAGGAAAAGAATCTTTCTTGCTTGATGACGATCCATCAGCCATCTTGGGCGCTGCTCTGTCTCTACGACCGCATCCAGCTGCTCGCTCAAGGCCGCGTCTACTACGAGGGACCTCCTCGAGAGACGCTGGCATGGTTCGACGGTCTCGGATATCAGGTCCCAGAAGGAACAAACCCCGCGGACCACTACATCACTCTGGCAGAGAATCCAGGAAATACAGCAGAGGGCGCCAAACGCATAGACCACTTGATCAGCGCATGGCACGAACGCGCTCGTAGCGGCGCCTCCACGCCCGCGGTCGCGCTGACCGATGCTTCGGGAACGAAGCGATCATCTGCTGATCTGGCTCGCGATGGCGAAATGTATCGTCATTGGCCTGCTTCTTGGCTCTCCGAGCTGGCCGTTCTCACCGAGCGCAATTGGCTGCAGCTCATTCGCGACGTGCCCACCATCATTGCCGTCGTTGGCCAGACGGTCATCCTGCTCATCATCATTGGTTTCGCATTCTTCCGACTCGGCTACGATCAAGGCGATGTTCTCGCGCGCATCGGCGTCTTGTTCTTCGTGAGTGTGCAACGGTAGCAGATATCGCGTGCGTCCCCCCTGTTGAGTGCGCCTGACGAGACATTGTGCGCATCGCGCGCATCTCCTCTTCCTCTCTCTCTCTCCCCCTCACACACGCGCACAGCTCCCAATCAACTCGACTTTCAGCGTATTTCTGCCAGTGCTAGCTCCCTTGGCGCTTCAGAGAGCTGTGATGAAGCGAGAGCGCTCGGCAGGCACCTACCGAACATCGAGCTTCTACATGTCCAAGATGCTCATCGAGGTTCCCAGCAACGCCGTTCAGCGCATCCCCTTTTTTGCGGTGCTGTATTGGATGTGCGGCCTGAATCCTAGCGCGGCTTCCTTCTTCATTTTTGTCGCTCTCAACTTGATGCAAGTCATCGTAGCCACTTGTGAGTGCAGCGCGTGTGCACTCGTAATCGCTTTTCATGTCTGCCCCCCCCCCCCCCCCGCGCTGACATGCGCCGGACACCCTGTCGCAGGTCTGGGTCTGTTCATCGGAAGCGTATCGCCAACAATTGAGCTTGCAAACATCATCGCTCCACTCATCAGCGTCATTTTCCTCCTCTTTGGCGGTAACCTGCTCCCATCTCCTCCTCCCTGGTTCGTCTGGCTTCGATGGATCTCGCCCATCACCTACACCTACATGGCCCTGGCCCAAAACGAATTTGCAGGCGCACAATTCTCTTGCGGCAATGCGGGTGCTGGGGGACAGTGCTACAGCACGGGCGAGCAGGTTTTGCAGCAGTACAACCTGCAGACGTTCACCATTGGCGAGTGCGTCGGTTTCTTGTGCGCCATCGCTGCCTTCGTCGCTGTCCTCGGATACGTGGGCTTGCGCGTCACTGCCCATCCCAAATTCAGATATCATTAGCCACGCAGAGACACCCTGAGAATAACGACACATGCCCAAGCTGAACCACGCACGACGTATAGATGTACAATACCCAACCGCTTATTTGCGAAGAATCTTTCCGAAGCCCAGGCAATTTCACGCATGATGAGCGATTACCATCCAACCCTGTGTGCAAATCAATTACGCCAAATTTTGACTACACGATCGCGACCGCCGCTGACAACCTTGTCCGCTGCAAAGTCCACGCAATACACCTCATCCTCGTGACCAGGCAGATCTACTCGAATCTGTGGGTCAAAAAGTGGCGAGAAAAGTCAGCACGCTGTGCAGCGCACTTGTACACAATCAACCCACCTTGAACGTCTTGAGGTCCCACAACTTTAGCGTGGAATCTTTGGAAGCGCTGACGAGAATCCTGCTGTCGGCGCTCCAAGCGATCCTGTACACGCTGGAAACGTGACCTCTAAGCGTGGCTACGAACTTGCCCGTCTTGCCATCCCACACCTTGATCGAGTTGTCAAAGGAAGCAGAGGCGATCAGCCTTGCGTCTGGAGAAAAGGCTACGTGATTCACCGTCTTTTGATGGCCTGTGAAGCGGGACAATGGTCGTTTGGGAGTAGCGCCGCCTTCAGCGCCCAAGGAGACGTCTCCGGAGATTTGAGGCGGCCAGAGAAACAGCGTGTGATCATCCGAGCCACTGATGGCGCGCTCAAACTTGTTGTTCGATGTCGATGCATCGTAGCGAGTCTGCGCAGAGGCTTGCGCTGCCAAGTCGAGCTCTGTGTATTGCCCTGCATCGGGTGCACCAACGATATCAGCGGCACTCCTAGCTCGCTGCTCCTTCAGCCTCGTCTGTGCAGCCTGAACAGCGCTAGGTGAAGGTTTGGCGAAAGAGCCAGTGTGGTCAAAGGGACCAGTCCTGAGCGTGTGATCGGTGCTTAGTGCCAGCGTGTTGACCCAGTGCGCATGATCGTTGAGCGTCCTGATCAGCTGACCCGTCTGATCGTTCCACACCTTGACCGTTCTATCGCTCGAGGCAGTATACAAGGCACCCTCACCGCCCCATCTGACCACATTGACGCTAGCACTGTGTCCTCCCAGCGCAAAGCAGAGTGTGCGATTCGACACGTTCCATACTCGCACAGTGCCATCCTTGGAGGAGGATGCGAGACGAGGTGAAGTGGTGTTGCGGTGAATCGGCTCCCAGGCCAACGAAGTGATCCATTTGGTGTGGCCCTTGAATGCTCGTCCCTTTGGACCAGATGCTCTGGCTAATCGCCTCTCCGCCACTGTGGGTCTGCCCTTCTGCTCCTCATCTTTCTCCTGCTGCTGCTGCTGCTGCTCCGCGCTCTCTGCCGCGACGCTCTCCTTGGATCTAGCAGCTGCCCCCCAAGCTCTGCGGCCCACCTTTCCATCGCTTGCATCCATGGCATCCCACACCCACACATCGCCGCTCATATCTCCTGTCGCCAACCTCCTCTCTCTGCCTTCCCACTCTGCGCAGAGCACCCACCCGCTGTGTCCAGTCAAGGCGTGCAGGGGAAGCTCCGAGTCAATGTCCCAGATGCGCGCACTCTTATCTCCCGCGCCTGTGCATAGCAGTTTGGAGGAAGGTGAAAAGGTGCTGCAGAGGATGGGCGAAGAGTGACCAGAGAGGGTGCTGCTGCATCGAGTGACGGGTCTGACGCGAAAGACTGCCTGAGGTTGAAAAATGACTTGCAAGACGTCCTCTGTGCTCAATCCCAGTTTTTGAGATTGCCAGCTGGACAGCACATCCTCTACGATCGACTTGTGTATTTGTATGCGCTGATTGCTCGTGACCTTGCCGCCATCATCCCCGACCTGCGCCGCGACATCCGGCAGATTGACGTGGAAAGCATACGGTACGTCCTCCTCCTCCTCTTCCTCTTCCCCCGCCTTCTTACCAAACTCTCTCCTCAGTCTGTTGACCACCAATTCCAGCTGCTTTGCGGTTGTATCAGCTGGCAATAGGATATGATTGCCCAAATCCTCTCCATCTTGCCCCGATCTGAATTGAATGACGATCGACTTGGACGAAGGGCCGTGCTTGCCCGATGCTGCCAGCGCTTGGGATTCGCGCGCAGAGGCTTCGTCTGCCAGCCGTTGGCGCTTAGCTGTGCGTGCTGGTATCAGCGTGGCCATGCTGCGCTGCTTTGGGATGGGATAGAGTAGCAGAGGCCAGCACTGTGAAGCGAGGGTGGGTTTAGTGGGAGGTGGTCAAGGGGCGTATATGCGTGCAATTTTGAATGTATGCGGGTGCATACACAAACCCATGTAAATCACGATTCGCGAGTTTGACAAAAAAAGTTCGGCTGGAGCGGCAAGAGTCACGTGATCCCTGGGATGCCCCTTGTGGAGATATGCGGGATTCAAGATTGAAAGTAGAATTAAAGCGCCCACCTCAAAACACGCGAACACAAAAGGAAAGCATTGCATTTCGTCGGTTCCGATGTTTGACTTGAGATCATGTGGCAGAGATGAATTCTGAACGCCAACCAAGAATCACAATGTGGAAGTCAGGCGCACACACATATATATATATAATCGTGAATCTAATATACGTGCCCCGCGGCAGCTAGGCGTGCGCGCGCCGCGGCTGTCAGGGATTCGAGTCGAGTCTTGAGTTAGTCGCGCGCGATGAGCGCTGCAGGGCACGGAATGCCGAGGCTGAGCTTGGCTATATAGCTGCTAATACTATTGATCACTCACCGCAGACTAGCTGTGTGACTGAAGGGTGAGCCCGCGCGTGGCGTGGATGCTTGCGCGCTGTGCCCAAGTCAGGTCAAGACTTTGATGAATGTGTTTGCTTGCTGCTGCTGCTTGATCCCTTGAATTCATCCTCCTTACTACCGCATCCCTGTCGAACACCGCTTGCGGCCATTGCTTCGCTCGCGCCATCCCATCCCAGCTAATCGGACTGCGCAAGCCGACTGCTGGCACACTTGACACGCCCCTCGCACCTCGCACCTCGCACCACGTACGTCCCTACGACTTGAACCCGTCTCAGCGGCGCGCACACGTCCATCCCTGGCCCTCGACGGCTTGAGCTTCACAGCGACCTGAACAGCTAAGCATAACCTGCGACCTCTCGCACACGCGACACGCGAGTCAAGATGCGCGTCGTTGATCGCACGCAAGCACTAGCCTTGATCTGTTCCTTCCTCGTCGCAGTGGTCATCGTGCAAGCGCAAAGCACCAATCAGCCACAGTCCAATTCCAGTCAGGCTCCCAGCTCGGGTAGCAGCAGCAACGCGCGTGAGTGATCGAGTAGAATGTCAGCATGGAACGGGTCGACTGTATGTGTGGCGCGGGAACAGGCGACGCTCATTGTGCGCAAGAGTGGAAGTTGTGAGAGACGCGAGCTCGCTCAGAACAAAGGGCGGCCTCACAGAGGCTTCACCACTAAGGATCCCTGTACCCAGCAGCGCGAACTCAACAGCTTCAGCTGACATCGAACGCTACTCCTCTTGCACTCGTGACTCGCAGCACAACCCACGGGCAATAACACGACGCCAGCCAACGGCAACGGTACCACATCGGGCAATTCTACAAACACCAACGCTACTCAAACCACTACCACCCAAGCCAACTTTCCCACCGCTCCAGTCTTTACCACTGGTGCGCTGGCCGGAACCCAAGCGGCGCCCGCACCTGCTGGCACTGCTGGCACGGGCAGTAATGCGGTGGGACCCAACGATGGTTATATCGCTGCGGCGAATAGGCTGTATGCTGCTGCTGGCATCTCTACCGTCGCTCTGCTCGGAGCAGGCACTTGGCTCATTCTCTGAGGGAATCACTGCCCTCTAGCACTGCACCTACCAGGTGTCGACCATGCTGCCGATGCCCGTGCACTAGCAACTCTCACTCTGCTTGCGGTACGCGCTATGCTGCTAGGGGGCCATTTTGAACACCTGGCGATGCGCCTCAACGACGGCCAATTCGACTGTCCAAGAAGCGAGCCAAGCTCCAAGAGATTTGTCTCTACTCCATGAGGCTCATCTTCCACATCTGCATCTACTACGGACAATCGCTCAATCGGGACCTTCTCGCATTTCTGCTCTCACCCCAAACTCATACCGCTCACACTTGCTCACGAACGCAGCCGCGCTCCGCACCCCGCTCTCCACAGCCTCACAGCCTCCACTCTCCCCGTCTCTTCCGTGCGCGCGCAACTCACCCCTCATCCCAGAATTCGAGCACGCAAAATCGCATCTCTGCTAAGAGACGTACGTCACATCCAACATGTAGTCTAAGCTTCTCCTCTCATATCTCGTCGACGCGCACTCTTGGTCTCCTGTCTACATATCTATTACTTCACGTTCGCACGCCGATGCTCTCATCTAGGGGCGTGTGTGAGCGGATCGGGTGTGGGTGTGGGGGCCAGGATGGCCTGCATAGCTTTGTGGTTCGCAGTACGTAAGAGGTAGATCGAGGGCGAGGGGCTGTGGAGTTGAGGGTAGGTAGCAGCGACGCACTTTACCGCCTCGCTGCCACGACGTTGCAGACCACACGCACTTTTCTCGGAAACTCGTAAAGCCAAAGTCAATCGCAGCGCAGCGCAGCCCAGCGCGATGCCGTTGTCTCGCAAACACACGACTTTTACGCCGAAGTCGAAAGAGGGCTATAATTGCAAGCTGTCATGTTTGCCGAGTCAGAGTGTCGAGTGCGACGAGACGAGACGAGACGAGACGAGAGGAGGCTGCACGCACGCATGGATGGATGGAGGTGGTGTGCGGTGTGCTTGGAGGCCAAAAGAATGAACACCAGCCAGGACCCCTTGTCGAATGCGATCGCGGATCTATTTCCAGCCCTCCCTCGGCTTCACGAGGAGCTGTTGCCGTGTGTGGGAGCATGCATGACTTGCGTGGAGTTCGAAGAGACGCAGCAGCAGCAGCAGCAGCATCAGCAGCAGCAAGCTCTTTGTGTGTACCGGTACCTACACGGTTGACGAGTTCAAGCATTTGCACCTCGTCGATAAAAGTGATTGATTGAGTTTTCAAGCTTCACTTTTTGTCATTCAAAATTTTCCAAGGACTCGCATGCATCTATCTCTCTCCCTCTCTCTCTGGGGTAGGCATTCACAATTCGAAACTTTCATAGTTCGTGATAGCTGTTGGCGAAGCGAAAGCGCGACTTTGAAGCTGTCAGCTTTCTTGGAACATGATTCACTGATTGGGCGGGCAGTAAAAGTCAACGAATCTAATTGATACCCAAGATCATCTTCGCAGACCCAAATTGGTATGCTTCTTCTCGTATGCTGAAACTTGCAGCGGCTCACAAAGGGCGAGGGCGTGGCAGGAGAGGCATGGGGGGGGGGGGGCGCTGCTGGGCGCTGATTCGCGCTGCATGATCGCCTGCCTGCCTGCCTGCCTGCCTGCCCGCTCATGTCGATCATGCAGCAGCTTGCTGCATGGAGCAGACGCCATCGCGTAGCTCAGAGCTTATGTACTCAAAAGACCGCTGGTGGGGCCGCATATTATGCTTTGCGGGCATCAGTAGGCCCGGGGGGGGGGGCAAGAAACGATGCAACTAAGAGCACGCTCATCGCGATCACGATCGACTCGTGACTTGCGCTTGTTGTAATGCAGGAAGAAGCGCGGGGTCTGAGGCGAATAACCCCATGAAATGCGACGCGGTGTATCAAGTCCACGCACGCATCATCGTCAGGTGCATGAGGACTCACGACTTTGACTTGGATTGAACGGGGTTTGTGATTCGTGATTGCAATCAATCAAGAATATATATGCTAAGCTACTCGCTGATGTTGCGCGGGGGCTACAAGGAGCGGCGCGGGTTGGGACGTGCGCTGGCTGGCTGCTGCTGCTGCTTGGTTCGCGCGCCTTGCTACCGTATAAGCATGCAACCGGATCCCTTTCTGGTCGCACTCGCACTCAAGACTCACAACTGCTAAATCTCATATACTGTAGCTGCTGACATGCAGTACGGTAGTCGTGAGATGTAGAAGTAGTCGTAGAAGTAGTCATAAGAGTCGCAAGCCGGGGGTTTGCTGCATGTCGCTGCTATGGTGCTTCGATCGCGCCAGCTGGCTTGAATGCTGCACGCTACCGCGAGCCCTGACGATGATCACGAATGCACCCTACACTCTTCTGTCAGTCGTGAGTTCTGTCGCCTAGCTCCTGCAAGGCTGAGGCAAGGCTTGACAGGCGCCCTCCCGCTCGCTGCATGGCGTGCTGCACTGCACTGCACGTCTTATCCACGATTGCATTCACGTTACCCTCCTCGCCCCCGCCTCCGCCTCGAGTTCTTCTTTTCGAGCTTTGCTGGCCGCACTTGCCGAATGCAACTCTTGACTCGCGCGCGCCGGCCCTTTGACTGACTGCCCTGGCCTGTCCCATGAGTCTTTGTAGTCGCGCGGCACCGCGCGGCACTCCGACTGCGCTCACAGTCAAGAGTCACGAGTGCATGGTCATTGCGTTGCACTCACGACTCGACTGTGCGTGCAGTCAGAGTGCGTTTCTCTCGCTGGCTCGCTGGCTCGCCGCTTGCCTGCCTGCCTGCCTGCCTGCCTGCCTGCCCGCCTGCCCGCCTGCCCGCCTGCCCGCCTGCCTACCTTTTTGGCTCTTGCTCCTAGCGTATTTGTGATCCTGCATGCATGTCTACCGCAGTGGAAGACCGCTCGCGGTACGCCGTGCCATGCACAAGCGAAGCACCGCACCGCACAGCACCGCACCGCACAGCATCGCACAGCACAGCACCGTGCGCGCATTTCACGTTGCCCCCGGGAATCATGAATGAATGACAAGGGCGGGTCAGGGACGGGTCGAGTGTGAGCCAGCTAGCCAGCCATACAACTCAGTGTGAGTCAAGTGAAGGCGCGCGCGCGCCAACGGGGTCGGTCCCCTCCCGCAAATCAGCACACACACACACACACACACACACACACACACACACACACACACACACACACACACACACCCTCGTCTCGGCACTTCGAGGGAACTTCAGGACCAAGACTTTGTCGACTTAGCCAGCCGTTTTGGGCTCATCACACTTGACGCTTCATCGAACACACACGTCGAACCATCGATTTGCCGCGCACCTCGCAACTCACGACTGCACCTCGCACTGTCGACTGCGACCTTGTATTCTGCACCCTCGTCTCCTCTCCTCTCCTCTCCTCTCGTGTTCGCACCCTCCTTTTTGCGTGGGCACGCCGCACGATCGTCTACAACTTTCCAACGACGTCTTTGTTCTCGACGAGTCCTCGCTCCTTGCACTTTCTCCCAGAGCATCGAGTCGGGGTAAGGCAAGCTGGCAACTTTACAGGAAGACAACGAGGCAAGTTCGACAAAGCTGGGGAAAAGGCAAGAAAGAAAGGGGGGGGCATTCATAACAAAAAGGGGGTGCAAGCTAGGGTTCACGAAGTTTCCCCCACAAGTGCGCTCGCGGGCGCATCGATCCGACGAGATTTCGAGCGCTGTCAACACGTAGCGCGGTCTACCGGAGGAATCAGCAACAGTCAGCAGAGCCCCCCATAAACATCGATCGAATCGGATAGGCATCGGGGGAGATCATCAGCGCCCCCCCTCGCACATTCGAAACTTGGCGGAACGGAGATCACGCGGCGGCTCACGCGACGGCGCGCCGGGTGTTGGGGGGGGGAGAAATAATTCGCAATCACGAATCGGGATTCCCAGCTCCCGATAGATTACTTGGGACTTGGTGGGGAGATTCTTGGCTCGCGACCTATTCGTAATCAGCGAGCACCTCCCCATTGCGAGCCTCTTCTGGTTGCTCATCATGTGTGAGTACGTCATTTCCCAAGCGATACATTCCGGCATGCGCGCGGTGGTGCAAAACGTAGTCAAGTTGGGGGGGCATGCATGAGCTAGGATCAGCATTCGAAAGGGAGAGAAGTGGGGTCGGTAGGCGCGGCATTCGGGCTTTCGCGAATAGCAGCCTTGGACACGGCGTGAGGGCGGGCGGGGGACGTTTTGCTGCCTTTTTCGAAACGTCTGCATGGGGAGCAGAGCAGGGCAGGGCAGAGGTGTGCGCTGCATTTCTTTGCGCAAAACGCGATGCCCCATAGCAGTCAAGAGTCACGTAGAGAAGTCAGAAAGAGTGGAACAGAGCGGTGCGCATGCATAATGCGCAACGGGGCCCATGCGAGCAAATGTGAATTCGGAATTGCAATCACAATCGTGAATCCGAATCAAAAGGCCGGGCGGGCTATAGCTGTAGCTGTAGCTGATGCTCGATCGGTGCATGCCGCCATGTGCAAGGCGTAGCTAGCTGGCGCGGACGCAGCCAATTCTTGCTCATCGGAGCCCAAATAAGACGGATCGAGCCGGATTTGGAATTTTAGCTCGGTATATGAATGGCTACGATGCTTGCCGAATTGCTGCTGTTCAATGAATTGAGCAGCTGTAGCTAGGCAAGACGGACACGCAGCTATGGGCTCCGAGGAGCTCGATCGCAATCTAGCACGGACTTGGGCGGACAAGGAGAGCGCGCTTGCCTCGTGGAGGAGGAGGAGCTGCTGTGCTGGGCGGACGGCCGTATGGCGCACGTGCTGCTGTTTGGGAGCGTTATTGCTTCATGCATGGGCATCACGAATGCGCACGACGCACGCGAAATCGATTGGCGGAAAGCAAGCAGGCAGGCAGGCAGGCAGGCAGGCAGGCAGGCAGGCAGGCAGGCAGGCATTCCATCGGTGGCTGCGCTTTTTGCTCCATGGGTTCATGATCGCGACTTCTATAGCTGCATGGTGCTGCCGTCGCATCGGATTGCGCGCAGACGTTCAGAGGCATGCAGACCAGCGTTTTTTGTTCGGGAGCCGTTTGCATGCAGTGCTATAGCAGGGAGAGGTGCGGCCGGGCATGTATGGAGCCGAAGCAAGACGACGTTCGAGACTTGACGAACATCGCGAGCGCTGCATGGGGAGGATGAGACGTTATGGCGCTGTATACAGCCGCAGCGCAGTCACAGTCGAGAATTCGATTCCCATCGTGCATGCACGCAGCGATGGCGAGTAGCGAGCGCGTCGCGCGGCGATCGTCACTATACATGGTGTCAGACTCGTGACTCACGCGACTGTGACTGTCCTGCTCTACTGGGCTTCGTGGTCGCTGAGTCAGGGCTATGATTGGGCAATGAAATTAATGCCCAGCTAGCGCAAATGCTCTAATTTGCATGCGAGACAGTCTTGCATGCCCTTTGGAGGTCTGCGCTCGCGGCGCATTGGTGCATATAGCCCTTCGCAAGAGCCGCTGCATGCTTGCTCAGCGCACAACCTTGCAAGATCGAGTCCTGATGACCGACGTTTGATTGGTCTCATCGCAAATATTGGACCAAGTGCCGCGATTCTGCGCGGGGTGTTGCACCCATCGTTCGCTACTGGTCAGAAATGGGCGCTGCGCTGCTCTGTTCTGTTCCCTCCCAGCCCATGTTTACATGTACATTATGTACATGTAGCTGCGTGCCATGGAGCAGGAAAAGGACCGGAGCAGCGTTGTTCCCACGCCGCACACTGAGGACTGCGTGGAACACTGCGAGTGTCATGCCTTTGCATTGCTCGTGCAGCAGCATGGCTGCTCTCTGTTGCTCGATCGCTGTCGACGCCGACTTCATGATGTTTGCAGCAGCAGCAGCAGCAGCTACATATAGGCTCGAAAGAGGGGAGGGCAATGATGGGCGAGGCAAACGCGTGGGTGCTGCCTGTGCCTCCCTCCCCTCCCCTCCCCTCCCTCTCGCATGCATTGCTTTTGCTTGCCCGAATCGATCGCGTATCGCGTGCTCTGCTTTTGCCCGCACCAACTTGCGTCCCCATTCGCCGCCCAACCACTTTTGCGATTGCGCTGAAGCAAACATGCGCCTTCGCTCTACCTGGGTCTGGTGCTGCTGGCAAAGAGTTGCACTGACGCTGACTTGCACTCCCAACCCTTCTCTCTACTCTCTCTCTACCCCCTCCCCAACCGCTGCTGCTGCTGCTGCTGCTGCTGCTGCTGCTGCTGCTGCTGCTGCTGCTGCTGCTGCTGCGTGCGACACGTCTTCTGATGCGCTTTGCCATCGCGCGCTCGCTCCAACACAACCATCACCACTTTGCTCTCGCTCTCGCTCTTGCTTTTGCTCCTCCCATCGATGTGCAACCATCGACTCTTGCTCCCAAATTCACACTCGCCGCCGTCGCACTCGCGCATCTTCCTCTCCGCCCAACATCGTCATGTCTTGTGATATGCGCGACGGACCTGGCTTGACCTGGCCTGCTCCTCCCGATTCCTCTTCGCCACGCCCTAACCTCGACGCCGACGCTCCTGCACACGATGATGCTGCGGCAACGTCGATGTCCAACTCGCGCCACGCTCACCACCAACATCGACGTCCCGATTCGCGCGCCCCGGCTTCCATCTCACTCAAACGCAAATTCATCAACTCGATGATGATGACGACGACGACGACGACGACGACGACGACGCGTCATGGTCGACCTGCTTCCACTGGCACCGACACGTTGCAATCCGCCATCTCCTCCTTTCCTCATCCGCCACCGCCTCCACCAACGCCACCCAACTCCGGCCCAATGGGAAAAACACCGGCACTGCAAACTGATTGCCATGTCCGCATGTCCGCTGCCCATCCCTACCCCGGACTCGCTGATTTGGCTGACGCGACGGACAATGTCGCTGCCGCTGCTGCTGCTGCATCTCACGCGCAATCCACGTCTCACGCACTCAATGCGCCGCCATCTTCACCCTCGCCCGGCACGCGCTCTCGCATGCCCGTCCGCGCCTCATCCCTTTCTCACAACTCGCCTTGGCCGCCGCCACCTTCATCTTGCCATCGTGCACCTCTCACCACGTCGGCGGCTCCGACGCCTACCCCGACATCATCCGGCACTCCGACGCATTCGCATTGCTGGGACTCGACATCCCTCTCTTCTCCCGTCTCCCACTCTGCCCCCATCTCTGTCATTTCCCTCTACGACGACGACGACGACGACGGCGGCGGCGGCGGCGCCACCACTGCTCACGCAACAAACGGCCTGTCTACCCGACCCGCATCGGTGGCATACACGACTTGCGACCGATCTTCCGTCATCGCACACGCTCATGCTCACGCGAAACGCGACGCCTCATTGCAATGGGACTTTCCTCGACGTCCATGGCATTCCTTTCGACCACGAGCAGCCATGCCTTCCCTACCCGCAGGCATTCTGCTTCAAGACTCGCCATCCTACATTTCCGCTCGAAGCGCAAACTCGCTCATCTCCTTTTCCAGACCTACGCGCATCCGAGCAGAGACTTTGCACTTTTTGAACAGACTGCTAGACGAACTGCTCCTGCTCGTGCTCAGCTCGGCCAAATCGCTCGCTACCGACCGCATCAAGACGGATGGCATACTGCGCGTTCTGGGAAGCACGGGTGCAGGTGCGCTCTTGGCCAAGAATGCCGTGCTGGAAGCCGAAGTGGAGATGAGGCAGTATGTGGATGGCATGCGCAAAGAGGGAAACAAGGTGCCCCTCGGTCTCAGCGCCACCAGTCGTCTGGATGGCACCGAGGGATTCCCCGTCAAGAGCGCATACGAGGCTGTGAGTCTCGTTGGCGCTTCCAACCCTCACACAATTGCCATTTCCGCCCCCCTCCCGCACTCCCGCTAACCCCCTCCCCCCCTTCTTCTCCCTCTGTGCGCGCGCGGATCGGCGCGCACACTAGCTTCGCGTCAGGTGTCAGTACTACAGTACGCTTGGCTCGCTCGAAGATCCTTCGCCCCACTCGACTTCTGCAGACACGACCATCATGTCTTCAGAAGGCCGGCCCATCGCTTCCATCACACCGCCCGTCAGCATCTACGTGACGGCTCTGCTGGAATTCGTGGCGGAACACGTGCTGAACAATGTGGGACGCATCATCGAGCGGGACAATAGCGACGAAGCTGGACTGATGGATCTGAGAAAGGCTCTGGAGGAGGATGAGAGCTGCGCTAGTTGGTGGGACCGTATGACCACGCGGGTGGAAATGCAGTCAAAGGAAAGGGAAGAGGGCGAATCGCGAAGAGGAAGCGCTCGTCCTTGGCAAGTTCCCGACGAGTCTGAGCTGGAAGAAGCTGCTGGTCGTAGAAAATTTGTGAGGCAGAGCCTCAACCTCAGCTCTACCGGCGTACCCATCAGCCCTTCCTTTCCCTCTACACCTCGAGTTGCGGGACAAGGACATGGACGAGAGAGCAGTCAACCTTACAGCGCCAGCGCTCATGGGCACAACGACCGCGACTTTGGCGCGCAGAGTCCGGCCAGCACAAGCCTCACGCACGGCAGCTCCTTGCCCGGCAGCGCGACGGCCTTCAATTCGGCCGTCGGATCGACAAATCACAGCGTGGAGACGGCTGCTACGAGCACCGGACCGACCCTCACCCGTAGATCCAGCAGCGATCGCGGCTGGGGCAACTTGCTGCAGGGTCGTCGACGCGGAAGCTTCAGAAGCAGCCAGGACATGGCTGCTCCCAAACCCTCCATCTCTCAGACCAGCGACGGCGCCAACCCAGAGATTGTGGAGCCGGACGATTTCGAAGCGCTAATGATGAGCGGACAGACGATGAAGGTCTCCTTGACGCCCAACAGGCTGCGCACCATCGAGGTGGCCAAGCAGGACGCGGAAGCCAAGAAGAACGCGAGAAAAAGACCTGGCGTCATGAACCTCGGAGTCAGAGACGATGGCGGATCCTCCACACCCCTCTCTGCTCGAAGCGCCACCTCTCCCGCTCCTCCGCTTTCGGCGCGATCAGCTGCCGAAGGTGCGCCGCTGGAAGATCAGCTGCTCGCTGCTGCGGGAGTTTCGGGACGCGAGCGCAGCGCATCGAGAGCGAGCTCCATTCGTGCTAGCAACAGCAGCCGGTCCAACTTGACCCCCAAGACGGGCAGTCAACCACCTTCGGCGTACCGCGGGCCTCCGGAAGCGGGCAAACCAAGCGAGCAGAATGGACGTTCCGCCTCCGTCGATTATGGCACGGTGGACGATGAGTATGTGCCTGGATCGGTTGGCGGATCGCGAAGGGGCAGCAGCGCCAAGGGTGCTTTGCAACCGCGAAACGAGGGTACAACCTCTTCGGTCCGCGACATGGTAGACATGTTCAATGGCACGCCTCCCAGTCCTCTGACCCAGGGCCAATTCGACTCGCCAGCCAGCGGACGCGAAAGCAGGCAGAGCGTCATCAGCTTGTCCTCCAACACCGGCGATGGTCGCAAGGGCGCCTTGTCCGGTCGCGTGAGGTCGCTGTTTGGTGGGCGCAAGCCGAGCGCTTCGGGCATCGTCACTCCTCAACCACGTCGTCTCCACTCTGGCAACAGTTCTCGCAACGGCTCCTTTGCCAACATGCCCAATGCCAGCGAAGACAACATTGCCTCCAGCTCTGTTGGACACGCAAGTGTTGCCTCCATCAGCGAATTTCAGCAACCGCAGTCGCGCACCGTTGGTGGTTCTCTTGGCAGATCTCATAGCAATCGCCCACCATCTGCTGGCGGACGCGTTCCCGTTCCCGCATATCGAGATGGGGATGAGGGTCGATTATCACCCGCCATCGAGAGCACCACGCCCGATCCGCCAGTCAAGACGCCAGACGCGACCGAAGCGCTTCCTGATCTTCCGCTCAAGGACGAATCGGTCAATGCTGGCGTGGCTGACCTTTCGAGATCGACCACCGACAGCGGTGGTCTTGTCGGCATATACCCCGAAGAGCCTCTGCTTCGCAGAGCTGCTACTCCCCCTTCTCCGCCGCCAGCGCAGGGTCAGCAAGCTCGCGCCGAGCCTCCAAGTCGCAAGATACCCTGGAGCTATGCTCGACAATCTTCCATCGGTCCCAGCAACGCAGCGATCGGCGCGTCCATCAGGAGACCAGGAAGCTCTGCTGCTGCTGAGCGCAATGCCGCAGCTGCTGCCGCCGCCGCTGGGACGGCTGGAAGCGTGGGCGGACACTCTAGCAGCAACGAGCATGCCCCGCCAAGCGCTTGGGCTTACTCCGCCGGTGGTACGGTGGACGAGCACGCGGTGGGCAACAAGACGCCCACGGCTAATCATGCGGCGGGCTATGCTCAGTCACCATCGACGCGCAGCTCGATGGGACCGGCGCGAACTTCCTCGACCACCTCGAGATCCGAGACGGCTCGTGTGCTGGCGACTTTGGACAGGCGCATGCGGGACTGCAACACTGTGGAGGAGTGCAGAATGCTAGTCTCGCAATCTCTTGCTCTGGCCGCTGCTGCGATGCACGCTACCGGCGGCGAATCGCGTCAGGTGCAGGATATCCCAGACGAAGATGTTGTTGCTGGCGATGCGCAGCATCCTAGATCTGCAACACTGCAGCCTGCCCTCCCCGCCGCTGCCGCCGCCGCCGCTCTCAAGACCGAAGCTTCCCCGGCCGAAGTTGCCGTAGCTACAATCGATGCTCCTCGTGCGCTGCTGCCCATCCTCGCCATGGCGGAAGGGTACGATGCTTATGCGGACGAGAGCACGCCGGCTTTCAAACAGTCTGCCAATCTGGCTGCCTGGCTGTTGGATGGCGATGGCGACGACTATTTTCACTCTTTGCCGCAGCAGTATGCCGAGTCGAACACTTTGGACAGCAGCCCCGCGTCCAAAGACTCTTCTCATGCTGCCGATTTGGAGGATGATTTCTCCTCTGCCAAGTCGGACGAAGAGCAAGAGGAGCACGAAGTGGATGCGGATGCGGATGCGGAGGATACGGAGGAGGAAGCTCGGACTGTACAGCGACAAGCACCACCCGCCTCCGCCTCGGCTTCCGGCTCGGGATATCGACGCTCGGCAGCTTCGGAACTGGCCAACGTCGCATCCGACGCCACGCTCCGTTGGACTTCGGCCAGCAGCGGCAGTGGCACCAAGAATGCCAGGAGCCCCACAAACGGACATCTGCCCGGCTCTTACGCTTCGCAAACGCCCCTGCTGTCGCGCAGCAAAGCTGCTGCACCACCACCACCACCACCACAGCCCAACATGCACGCCACGAAAGTCATGCCTTCGAACACGACGGATGGAGAATTGGCAGAGATGCAAGCGAGACGAACTAGCATGCATTCCAGCACCAAATCCTTCAGGGACGCTTCGGAGGAGCCGGTCGATTAAAGAGGGCGGCGCAGGCTATGCGAATGTCGGGGTGATGAGGGACGGACGCTGGCCTCGTCCAGTCGATACGCACACCGCTTGATGCCATCAATACACGACACACATCCTTCACATTCCATTATTCACCTTTTTATTTGCTTCCCCTGATTTTTCCCCTCCCCGCGGACCGCCGTCATCATTGCGCGCGCGGGATGACGGTGTTCGCTTTGTTTTTTTTGCTTGCCACTGCTTGGTCATTTGTTTGTTCTGCCGTTCTTCCCCTTCAGTGACGTCCTCGACACGACTCGAAATACTCCCTTCTACTACCAGGCTTCACTTACGAATTTACCCCTTTTTCTGTTCTTTTGTTTTCCCTTGGCTGCTTTGGTAGTCGACGTTATCACATCATGCTCAGCCCGAACGAGCATCGAGTGTGTAGTGATCACGATGGCAAATCAGGCGACGTGATCACGCGGCGTAGATCGACGATCATCGAGCCGGACGCTTCGCACCCAAGGTTTTTTCCCGTCTATGCGTTTCCTGCTGAGGTCGTGTCCCGTCATCAGCAGGGTGCTTGCATGCTGGAGGCTCAGCCGTGGTACGGCACTCTGACGCCAAGTACACGCGAGCGCGACCATCGCGACGTTTGGCACCCTGACTCGACAGCAGATTTGCATCCCCGACGCAACCTCCTTTAGTCCGGGGCCTGTTTAGACTGATGTCAGCAAGACGTGGCAAAGTGGTGGGATTTTTGGGAACATCGTGGGCAGCAGCCAGCCCATCGTATCTCGCTTGCAGGGCGATGCGCGCGCGCGACATTTAGTGGGATTTTCGTCAGCCTTTTTGCGCAGGCAGCAAGCAGAGTGTCCTAGAGGATAGTGGTGGGACGGGGAGAGTCGAGGCACAACGAGTTGCTCTTACCGCGACGCTACACCAACACCTTGCGTCGTCTGCTGGTCGACTTTCGGCAGCGCAATCGGAGGCCAGGGTGTCGCATAGTCAGCGCCAAATTTGGATGAGTGGCTGCGACGGATGAGCGTGCGTCCTCGCTATGCTGGCTGTCACCGGGTTCGAGCCGGTCTGCCAGGGCACCGAGGATGCCTGTCCATTCTGTCGAGTTTCTTGCTTCCAACGCTAGACGGAGGAATGGCGACGGTCGGAAATGCAGGGTCAAGCGCTGGACTCTATTGGATGTCAGTACTGCAATCCGATTGGGCGCGGGGCAAGCCCTGAGCAGACAGGCACAAGCGGTCAGTGCTCACGCGCGCGATTGATGACAGCTGAGTATGGATTGAGCTTCGTGAGAATGATGGACCGGACTGCGCAAAGGCACACTCCGGCCCAGCATGCGGCGCGGAAAAAGGGCGTAGGTAAAGGGCGGCGTTGAACAGGTGGTACCTTGCTGGGCTGAGGCGGAATGCAATCTGCGGTCACGCCAGTCGAGTGAAGTCGGAGCTGACCTTGCCCACGAAAAGTCAATCTTGTGTTGTGAAGCATTGCTCTTCTCACTGTCAAGTTCAGAGCTCATTCTCACATGACATGTAGACTGGGTGGATAGGGGTGTTCCTGAGTGTGCTCTAGTCTGCGTTGACAAGAGGTACAAGGCTCCGCGAGGTCCTGATAATGGGCGGTGAGCGCTGCGATGATTCCAGTGCAGGATCACTCAACAACGCTGAGGAACCTACGTGACCTCGTCTTGGTGGCCCTTCGCAGGAGTCGGCGGCCGGCTCAGATGGAGCAAAGCAGCTCTTACCGTGCATGTGTCGGTCACATCGTTGGATTATAAATACCCCCGCTTCGGGTCTAGTAAAGCTCATTCCATTCTCATCAGAATCCAGCATCTTCAGCCTCCCAAGTCCCCCTTGCAGCAACTTGAGCAATAGCCCTTTAGCTCTTCCACAGCCGACCAATTTCGTCAGTAAATCTCCCAGCCATCATTCCCATCATCATGCAGCTCGCCTACACCTTCGTAGCTTCGTCCCTCGCCCTCTGCGCGGCTCTCGGCAGCGTTGCTGCTGCGCCTGCCGGAACTACCCCTGACACCAAACAACCTATCACTCCTGCCGATACAAAGGTAGCAGTGAAGGCCAAAAAGCACGGTGCTTTCCTCATCCAAAATGTCGTTGATGCCTACCAACGTGAGTCACGCGACGCGATTGCATGCCGACACATGGCCATAGAAGAGCTGATTCCAATGCATCACATGTTGCCACAAACACTCGCACGCAGCGGTCACGGTGTGGCTAGACGTCCCGAATGGGCACTACAACGCGGAATGGTCCGAGGCGTGCGACAAGATCACCGGCAAGTACCGCACTCAAGACAACTTTAAGGATGAAGGCGGACCTCTTGGTAAATGGGCTTCCGTAGCCTGCATCGCGCGCACGCACAACAAGATTACCAAGGAAGAGTGAGTAGTGGTGTTGAAGCACCACCCGCGGCCCGGTCAAGATAGCTGAGAGAGCCCCGTGGTCATTTTGCCATCTCTGTTCATCTTCATTAGGCTCTTCTACAACTATACCCCTATTCTCATCGAAAGGATGATTCTCTTGGAGGGACACGTTAAGCCTGTGAAGAAGCCAGACGACAGCCATTCTGACAAGCCCGGCAAGCCGCCTGCGAAGGAAGCTGTGAAGACCAGCCCCAACACGACCAAGCCAGTCAAGACTGAGCCCGTGACCAAAGAGCGGGTCAAAACCAACCCTGAGCCCGTCAAAGAGCCAGTCAAGACCAACCCTGAGCCCGTCAAGGAGCCAGTCAAGAAGGTCGATGCTCCTCCTCGCAAGTAAGCGTTAATCTCCCGACGGAAGCCGCTGACTGCTCTAGCGTCACCGTTCCATCTTCGTTAAACAAAAAAAAAAAAAAGAAAGATAACACGCACACGGTCTTTACGGCGCTTTCTACTTTTCGGTGGCTTTTTGCCCCCGGCTTTCTCCTTCTCCCCAAGTCCGACTCGATCACTCTATCAGTCCCCTTCACAACCGCGTCCTGAAATGAACCCTGTTCTTGTGGTCGCACTCGAGACCTGTTTGACACTTTTGCGATTGTGCGTGGGGGGCTTGAAAGATTCGTGCATCGAGCTGGGCCTTTTGAAGGATTGAAGTGCGAGTTGCCGCCGAGCCGAGCGGTCAGATGCAAGATGGCCGCTTCGACGCGAACAGGGCTTGGCTTGGGCAGGCGCAACTGGAACAGATACACTTGCGTCAGGTGGGTGGTGGAATGGCCAGCGCTCACGCTGTGAGCTGAGCGAAAAATGACCCAGATCAACATTTGAAAATGTGCAATTGTCCTTGTGTCAAACTGTCAAACACGAGCGGGAGCGCAAGAGGGGCTGCGAGAGAGAGAGAGAGAGAGAGAGAGAGAAGGAGAGAGAAAGTAGCGGGACAAGACGGGGGGCCGGGCGGGCGTGGCAGCAAGCAAGCAAGCAGGCAAGGGCGCGACGCGCGCGCAAGAACGATGGGCGGGCGAGCGGGCCGGACGGCGCTTAGTTGTCGGACTGAACGAACTGCCAAGATGCGTCAAAGACACCGGCGTCCAGAGGAGCGAATTGCTCAAAGAGGGAAGTGGAGAGGTTGAGAGCTCCATCGCCGTCCGTGCTGTCGACGACTTGAGCACGGACAGTCTTGCCGCGAGCGGTGATCTGCAGCAACAGGCAACAAAGGCGTGTGAGGGCGGGGGAAAGCAAAACGTTTAGATCGGGAAGGAATTTGTTGCGAATGAGCGGGCGAACCGAACAATGCTGGATTGCTGCTGCTACTCACCTCGATGAATTGGAAGCAATGGTCACCGTTGCCATATACGTTGCGGTCGATGCCGACCGCAGCATCCGAGTTCTGCACTTGGCTTCCGCTGCGAGATGGTGCCAGGCAGAGCGTATTGCCTGAGCATTCGCAATGTAATCAGACGCTTGCACGATTCGACCGCGCGTTGCTCACCAGTTACCGTAACCGCCGTTGAACTCGGTGTAGCTGGCCTGACCATTGTAGACGGTCGTATCTTGACGCTTCAGCGGTGCTGGGGCGGCACAAACAGCAGCGGACATGGCAAGCATGCCAGCGACGAGGATGAATGCGCGAGAGAACATTGTTGGCGATTTTTTGCGGCCGACAAAGCAAGAGGTGCGAGAGAGCGCTGAGCGAGGAGGTGGAAATTGGGATGGCAAGGTAGAAGCGATGAGGGTGAGATGGGGAGAGAGAGGAATGAAAAGGGATGGCATTCGATTCGGGGCCTCTTTATACCTTTTCTTGTAGGCCGTACTGCGGCCAGTCGCGTGCCGCTCGTGCCAGTGACCGCGCCCATAGCCATTGCGAGCAACGCTTTGAGTAGTGAGGAGTGAGCGTGCGGTCATGCCTAGACACACAAAGCAACGTTTCGGTGCTGTCGGCATATTCGGCGACCGGCCTGGACATGCAATGCGACCTATGTTACGCTTTGGTGAGCAAAAGGTCGCACGTCGTACACGCTCTCATGCAAACCTGACGAGCATCTGACCGTCGGTCACAAGTTTGAGGTTCGCAAACTGCGCAAATGGCACCGCCTCGACGCAGAACACGCCCGCACGTCGAGCCACGCACGCCTTCAGAGTGCGTTCCCTCGTTGGCGGATTCAAGCCATCTCGATCCACGGTGCCTGCATGTCAAGATTTGAGCATGAATGAGCAAAGCGAAGCGAAGCGTTCACACTTTTTTTCTTGCTCTCGAAGAACCTCGTCGGAACTCCGCAGTGATGGACGAGCCGTCGCAAAGCATTCACGAGTATGGCGCCGGGGGGGGGGGGGGGGGGGGGGGGGGGGGGGGGGGGGGGGGGGGGGGGGGGGGGGGGGGGGTGGTATGATTGACCACATTGTGCACGCGACGCTAATCGACGATTCTCATCACTCCCACAAGCGCGGAAAGGATGGATGGATGGCAAGGTGTCATGTCATGTGGTTTCGCAGTCATGAGTCCTGCATCGGCTTTGAGCCAACTAGCGCGCTTCATTGACTCGGGGACGTGATCACGACGTCGTGCGTGCGTGCGTGCATGCGTGTGTGTGTGGCCTGCCAGCCTGCATCACTTTACCTCGCAGCGTGCGGTGCAAGAATACCGAGCTCGATCTCTCGTCAATGTCGCGCTCGCACTCACGACTGCCAGGACATGACAAGCCGTCAATCTGTAGCTGGAAGTCAAGACAAGCTCGAGCGTGGGCCCCGCGTCTGAACTCCGCGCGGTCTATCGAGTCAGAGTCTACAGCACGGCATCTTGTTTCGTTGCAAGTCACAGCTCGATCCTGCCGTCATCACATGCACCGCGCATTTAATTGTGATCGCTGTCCGCCGCCGCGCGCGCGGACACGGCAACAAATCGCCGGCAGACCCGCACGCATGAACGCCGTGCGGCAAGGCAAGGCAAGGCAGGCAAGCTTGCTTGATTGATTGCATATATGTGTACGATGCTGGCCGTGCCGCGAGGATTCACGATTCACGATCCACGATCCCATCGAGGAATTCAGCTCCGCTCACAGCTACAGTAGCAGCAGCAGCGCGCGCGCGCTCTCTCCATGATTCCTCGATCGCGCCCACACGTACGCGTTCGCCGGCTTCGGATCTCCGACGTGTGTAAGGTGTCGGTCACTCGGTCGATCGAGACAGCTTAATTTTTGATTGAGCAGATATAGTCGATCAGGGCCTGAATCACGTGGCTCATGATCGAGTCTCGAGTCTCGAGGTAACCAATCTCATGATCATCATACAAGATAGCTGATGATGTTCACACATTCGTTTCAGATTTTGACTCACCACTCAGACCCTAGACCCCTGCTTTTGCGGTAGATGCGTGACTCCTCTCCGATCCCTACGAAATCTTATCCCTTTCCCATCACGTACGGAGTTGACCGTCTGCTACACCAACACTCACGACTCGAATTCCAAGCAAGGCCTGCCAATAAAGCCCATCCATGTGGTGGACACGCACGTCACACGCCAACATGGTTCACGATGCGCCTCCGACGGCCCGCAAAGATGTCCAGCTGATCTGTTGGCTGCATGTTCGGACAGGCGAAGGTGTAGCACATCACAACAACAGTACAGTCAACAGTCACAGTCAAGTGTGGGGTACCGATGCCGTGGCCAGCCTGCCTCGAGCATGCGGCGGCACTCGACTCGTGACCGTGACGCTCGGCATGCGAGGTGGTTGAGTGACATGATGAATGAATTCACACTGCTCGTTACTCTTGACCATGAGCCCCAATTTGGCGCGATAATGTCGAGCTTTGGGTGGAGGAAAGAGCAGGTAGAGTCAAGTCAGTGCAGTCTCTTTCCGCGTATCTCGAGAGCCAATCGTGAATGAAAAACTGGTGAATGGCGCGCGGGGCGGGGGGGGGGGAATAGGATCAATTCATGATTCAAGACTTTGGATTGGTCATTCAATTCACGTGATTTTCATGGGAAACTGCTTGCGCGCGCGCGCTGATCATCATCCCAGCGAGCGCGGTCCAAATGAAGAGGCCGCGCGCGCGTGCGGGAAATGTTGAATGGATATATACAGATGATGGATCGCCCGAGAGGTTATGCAGCAGCAGCAGCAGCAGCAGCTAGCAGAAGAGTCTGCAAATGATTGAGTTGCTCGATCGCGCAAGGTTTTGGGTCAACTCCCGCGCGCGCGCTTCGCGGCGGGGTGTGGCGTGCAGCGTGCGCGGCAATTAACAATTGAACAACACCCGCGCCGCCCCACGCGCGCGCTCATCATGGCCCTCGCTGCTCGCGTTGTGCAGTCAGAGGCGAGAGTCAACAGTCGCAGTGCCGCTGATGTGCATGGCACACGTACACGCACGAAATTGCTGCTGCATGATGCACGCACGCTGATGTTGCTCGCGCGCTTGTCTTGTATAGCTTTCCCCCCAACCGATATCGAAGGCCGTGCATGCGGGCAGTCAGGCCTATTGCGCTGCTGGGAGGCAAGCAAAGGCAGTTGTGAGTGAGTGAGAGAGGGCTGGAAGATCCGAAAGGTCCAACGCGCGGCGGCGTGCAGCCAGCCAGCCAGCCAGCCAGTCAGTCAGTCACAATTTGCTCGACTTCAGTCGACTTTGCCGCTTCGGCGATTACGGTACGGCGGGCACGAGATATGGTCCACGTACGGATGCATGCTGGTGAGCGTGAGCGTGAGTGTGTATCTGCTGGTTTCTTCTCACATCTACACATCGCCCGCCGCGCTCTCTTCACCTCTTGTCTCGCATCGACTTGTAGATGCGCACGCAGATTGGCCCGGATATCACATCACATCACATCACATCCCACCACCCCTTCCTCACTGACAGCGACCTCATTCCCACTCCGACCCTTACTGGGTTGTCGCCGCACAGCATGTCGATCCCGACCCCGACCCCGACCCCGACCCCGACGCCGCACACATCGTCCTCGTCTCCGTCAGCCAGCGGCGGCACAACACCCTTTGCCATCGTCACGCTAGTCACCACCGACGACTACTTGCCCGGCGCACTCGCTCTCTCCGCTTCCCTAGCCAAGCATTTGCCCGCATCTACCGATCAAGCCAGCCGAAGCGCTTCGGACGATGCGTCAGCGACGACGAGCGACGCACCTCGGCAAGATATCCACACCATCGCTCTAGTGACTCCGGCCAGTCTTAGCCCTCGAACCATCAAATCTTTGGCGCGTCGTTTTGATCGCATAGTGGGAGTGGAGCAAATCTCTCTCGCTACTTCCATCGTCGACGAAGCTACAAAAAAGCTGGCTGCTACTGGCTCGGGCGTTGGCGGTGCGCAACAACGATCTCAGGATGCCAAGTTGGGCAGAAGGATTCGAAGGCAGGCGGCGAGGAATTTGGCCTTGTTAGGTGAGCGAGAGCGAGCTGCGCTGCGTGAATGCGGTGTGCGGGAGTCTAGCAGCCTGACAAGACCCGCTCGAATTCCCCCTTTCTGGTCCCCCCCCTTGCAGGCCGGCCAGATTTGGGAGAATCGGCTGGGGCGGCATTGACCAAGCTGCACGCATTCCGAATGGATGCGTACAAGCGGGTCCTCTTCCTCGACGCGGACACCATCGTCTTGGTGAGTGAGGCGGAGGCGCAACAGCTTTCCATGAGATGATGTTGCTGACGCTGGCCCCCCTTTCCCCCCGCGCACTCAGCGACCGATCCATCACCTCTTTGGACTTGCCCCTTCCCCTCTGTACGCTGCGCCGGACATTGGCTGGCCAGACGCCTTCAATTCTGGCGTCTTGCTCCTTCAACCTTCGGCCAGCACGTTTGCATCGATAAGATCATTTGCAGCTACCACCGGAACTTGGGACGGTGCCGATCAAGGTCTGCTCAATGATTTCTTTGGCGGCGAAAGAAAGCGCGGGCAAGAGGGCTCAGGTGGAGGTTGGGACAGGCTAAGCTTCACCTATAATGCCACTCCCAACGGCGGTTACACGTGAGTGTCCCCCTCTCTGTTCGTGTCGCCTCGTGGCCCCGTCCTGACACTGCCAGATCGTTTGCACACAGCTATGCTCCTGCATACGTACGCTACGGCAGTGGCATTCACATTGCCCACTTTATCGGCTCGCACAAACCTTGGCACTCGCCGCGTCCAAACGCTGATGCTGCAGCAGCAGGTCGAGATCGCGCAGCAAATGACTACACGGCCCTTCTCAGGTCTTGGCACAACTACTATGAAGCTGCTGTGCCCTCTCGCAAGACTTTGCAGACCGCTTCTGGATCGCGTCGGGGCGCAACCCGCGTTGTGCACTCGTCTCGCGGCGTCGAGATCGTAGAGGAGGAGGAGGAGGGCCAGTTCGAGGTACCGACCTATCAAGCGGCGTGGGAAAGGAGCGAGACGGGCGTAGCAGCTTCTTCTGGCGCGGGCAACGTCGATGACCTTCGTGCCATGTTTGGCGAAGGGCGCACAAGCGTCGGCGACATCGCTTCCAGGTACGCTGCCGTAGGAGCTTATTACAGCTTGCCTCTTGAAGGGCGCACAAGCTTGATTCCCCCGCCAGCAGACGCGTGGGACGATCCAGGAGATAGCACGGACGAAGAGGCGGAGGCTCGCAAACGCAAAGTCGCTGCTGATGCGCACAGAGCCAGAGAAGCAGCAGAGATGGCCTCATCAGGACAAGCTGTCAAACCTCAGCACGCCTCATCAACCTCGCCCACCGGAGACGGCACATGGTCACCTCCACACCTCTCGTGGAATCCTGCCATGGGACCGCCACCGAGCGATTCTTACCAGATGGCTGCCCCGCCAGATGCATATTACGAAAATGCTTGGGAATCCAACGACGGCAGCCGGCACGCTTTCTTTAGACCTGCGGCCGACGACCGCGCTAGAGCAGACGAAGCCTCGCGTAGACGCGCACTTGAACGCTTGCAGCGCGAGCACTGGTTCGACAATCTCGGATCCGACCGACCAGATCCAAACGCTGTCAAGGCCGTCTTTCCGTGGGAGCAAGGCAAACAGACTGGTGAATCGGTGCCCACACGTCGATTTCCTGAAGAGCCGCCTTCTGTGCAACCGCACAGCTCGGAAATGGACCGCAGCTTGGCTGCGGCGGCTTCTCAGCCTCCCTCGCTGAGAAATTGGCCGGATCAAGTGTCTAGCTCTTCTCAGCCCGCATCTTACGGCGGCAATGAATCGCGCGGCTTGCCACAGACTTTGAGCTACACGAACGCTTGGGATGTGGAGGGATCTCTGGGGCGATTCGGAGCGGATCGTTGGCGGCCGTCCATGGACGAAGGTCAATCGAGAGGGGTCCAGACCGAGGCGGACGTGGTCACGCGAGGTTCGCAGACCAAACGAGGCAGGTACAAGCATTGGAGCGGCGGCACAGGGGGCTCGTCAGTCCAAGCAGACGGAAGCATCGAGGATATCAGAAGAGATGAGGGAGCCAAAGATTCCGCATTGGGCATGTACGGTGTTGGTGCGCACCAATTGGCCGATCAGTCTGCCGACGGCGATGACGAGTCTAGCTCGGAAGGCAACGAGAGCGACGATGAGGAGGGTTATCTGCAGAGGCAACATCAACAACAGCCACAGCAATCGCGACCAACTTCGCTTGTGGGCCGCGGCTATCAGCGCAAAGCGGAAGCTTCGGCAAACGTTGCGAAGAATGCGAGTCCGCGCAGTCCCAAGACGCCTGTAGCCATGCTTTCGCCGCTTGGCGGTAGTGCTACGAGCGGGAGCGGCGGCGGCGGAGGAGGAGGAGGAGGGGGTGCGTTGGGGGGTAGCGGTAATTTGCGGTACGGATCGTTTGATCTTCGACGTACGCGATCCGATTCTGCCGAAGATTCCAGCTCGACGCCCACTGCTGCCAGTCCAGAGGCGATGGGATCTGCTGCTGCAAGAGCAACGATGACCGGTAGAGCTCGTATACGTCCAGACGGAACGTACGACGATAGCGCTGCTTCCCCCCCCTCCTCCTCCTCCTCCTCCTTCTCTTTTCATGGCTCTTTTCAAGATCCCAGCAACACGCTCAGAGATTTGACGCTGCAACAACCATCCTTGTCTGCTCGCGCCGCCACCGCCACCACCGCCGCCACGACGACGACGACGAGACAAGCGGGGGGACACGCTTCTCGCGCAGAAGCTGCCTCTAGCGGCAGTTCTCAATCCGGCGGCGGCGGCGCAGCTTCGCCTTCCATGGGCACTTCGCCCGTCTTTTCCAGATCCGAATTGACCCAGCTAGCTAGGACGCATCAACATGCTTCTTCTTCCGCTTTCGCTTCGCTCCCTGCTGCTGGCAGAAGGCGCGGAGGTGCAGGAAATGGCAGCACGGGAGGCGCGGGCTGGTAAGACGGCGCTGGGGCGCGCGCGCGCGCGCGCGTTGGGGCGCACGACGAAGCTGCTTGTTCAAGCAAACGATTTTGCACGCCCCCACGCATTGATGATTTAGAATTTGAAATACATGGGGCCCACACAATTACAGAAGGGGGGCGCGCTTTGGTACTACACATCGAGCAGCTCTTTGGCACGGGCATAGGCGTTGCGAACAGAGGCTCGCTGATGATTAGCTGCAGAAATGTCCAACGAAGAAAAAAAAAAGCAAAGTATCAGTCCTCGTCGATATTTGCAGTCCAAAAAAAAAAAGACTCTAGAGTATTTTGGGCGTTTGCGGAAAAGGGATGCATGGAGCAGTTGCAGAGCAAGACTCACTTCGCATAGAGCTGCTCTTTAGCAATTTTTGGTCCAGCTTATCGTCCTCGAACAAGAAGCGCAACGAGGTGGTGGGCACCCAAGCAAAAGTTCGCATAGGATCAAAGAACCTGACCAGGTGCATGATGCTGTCCACCATCCCATCCGCGCTCACGCTCGTCGGCCCTGCTTCCGTTTGCATTTCGAGTATCTGAACGTGTGCGCGCATGAAAATGGGGGGGGCAAAAGTCAGCGAAGCGCATGATGGTCAGGGTGCCAGATGAAAGGGATTTGTGAGGACGCACATGATCTGGCACTTCGTCCATCTCCGGGTCGAGAACCTCTGCAGGATAAAAGGGCCACCCTGTCGCCGCCGCCGCCGCGAAAAGTTTCCCCCCAAACAGATCCAAGTCAGCTGTGCGCTGGCTTGCGCATGGAGATGCCCACCTCCCGCAGAGCGGTGACGTACCTGTCATCTTTGCCCAGACCAAAGTCCCACCGTCAAAGTCGGACGGCATGCCCATTTCCGGTAGATGCGCAGGCCTAGCTTTGGGCGCAACAGACGAAGATGCACCATGAGCCTGCTGCTGCTGTGCCTGCAAAGCATCAGGTGCATCATCGTCGACGAGCATCGCTGCTGCGCCTTCCGCCTTCTTTTCCATCCTGCTCCTCTTCATCCTTTCCTTGTGCTCTTCATGAGCTTTCATCTCTGCCAATCTCTTCAGTCTATGCTTCTCCCGTCTGATTGCATTGCGGTGCTCCCTCTCCGCCTCCCTTTGAGCTTCTAAATCCTTCTCTTCCTCTTCTTGCACCTCGTCGTCCAGATCGCTGAGCTCGTCAGAGTCCGCCTCTTGCTCATCCTGCCCAGTGAGCGCGTCAGAGTCAGTCTCCATCCTTACCGTCTCATCATCTTCCTCCACTTCGGAGCTGAGGGGAGAGCTAGGTGGCATCTCCGACCACCTATTCCCAGAAGAATACGTCTTTACGACCTTGTTCGACCGACTTGCAGTTCTAGACGACGACGCATCCGTCGCATCTCTCGCCTTTGCCTTTCTGGGCTTGTTGGGATCTTCCGTAGCTTTGATGAACTGTCCATGGCTACCTCTGAAATGGGTACGCACCGTGCCAGTAGAAGATACGGAGGTGTCCATGTTCCGCAAGCGCGTCTTGCTACCCCTCTTTGACACCTTTTCTTCTGTGCGCGAACGAGATCGCCGCTTCTGCGTCGCCTTTGCAGACGCGCCCGACCGCTCCGCAGCATCATCGCCCGCCAAGCTCGGATTAGGTTCCGTAGAGAGCGTACCAGTGCGCGCACCTGCAGCGTGGAACGATCGACGTGCGGGAATCGCCAGTATCAGCGCCAAGCGCAATGTCGCCGCAAGGAGCTCTTAACAACACTCACGCTTGGCCAACGGCTCGGTCACCGTAGGCGGCGGATGTCTGACGCGTCTAGCTCCGTCCGGTAGAACCCAGCCCGAGTTGAAGAGCTTGAAGGAGTCCCAATCGTCCATTTCTCGTACCTCGTGCGTCTCCGGCGTGTGTCTATCCTGCACCACTTTTCCGAATGAAGGTGGAGCTTGGCCATCCGATCCGACGAGCGTCTTGGAGGAGATGGAAGCAGAGTGGGAGCGTTTGAGGTCAGTGCCGACCGAGGCAGATCCAGAAGCACTTGCCCGCTTCCAAGCAGCAGCTGTCGCAGCTGCATCCGCTTCCGCCTTTTTTTTCTGTCTCGCCACAACGGCAGCTCGAGAGGCGATGACCGCCGCGGCATGTCTTCTTGCCTTGATCTGCGCTTCTTTATCTTCCTGCGCTTCTAGCTGCTGGTCCCGATCCGCATCTCGTTTCTCGTGCGATCCGCTGGCGTCGGCGCCCTTGGTCGTCGCCAGTTGTTCCCGCGCGTTTCGGCGCGTCTCGGCTGCTCGTTTGCCCCGCTCGATTCGTGCCAGTCTCTTGTTCGCTTTGACAGACCGCTGAGCTGGCAAGCTCGTCGCCTCAACACGATAGTAGTGACGCGTCAGATCTTCGACGACATTCGCAGGCGCTTGACTACTGTCCCCGTGCTGCTCGATGGCGTCGAAGATGTCCTCATCGTTGTAACTTCCCAGCAGATCGATGAGGCTCTCTTCCGGCTCCAAATCTAGACCTTCGCCTTCTGGCACGCCCTCCCCCGCGTCTAAGTGCACCTTTGCTAGCCGATCTAGTTCTAAAAAGATTCCACCCTTCTCATCCTGGCACGCCTTGAGTATACGCAGTGCAGAGCGATGGAAAGCCGTTTCCGGCTTGTTGTAGTGCATGGCATTATTGAGCACGAGCAGAATGTCCTGCTTGAACTCGAGCGCAGTGGCGTAGTGAAGTTCTTCCAGCTTTTGAGAGATGGTGGACCAATCCATTGGGCTTTGGATCACCGTGTGATAGTCAGGCACGTCGATGGCAGAGACTGGTCTGCTGAAGAAGCCTGCTCGATCAAGGCTGTAGCAGAGGTTGCAAAAAGCAATGGTAAGCATGACTGCGTTTCTGCATCTGCATCAAGGTCTTGCTCCCATCTGACTCACCTTGAAACCCTCTCTAGTATCTTTCGAAGAACACCGAGATAGGGCAGGAGAACACCATTAACCAAAGAGTCTCTCAAAAGCTGCACGCCTCTCAACTTTTCCTTTTCCCTCTTTCTGACCAGCTCAGCGAGCATTCTGATCTTCTCCAGATCTTCACGAAGTCGAAAGAGGAACTGTGATGGAGCATTTGTCGAGATATCGGATCAGCTGGCTGAGATATCAAGACGACTGCCGCAGCGCTGCCAGCCAGTGCCACGGCGTTTCCCGGAAGCAACGGCTCACCTCGAGCTTTTTGACGCGCTGCGCATCCGTTTGCTCTTTTCCATCCTTGCTAGCCGTCCAAGGCTCCAAGTGCAATCGTTTGAGCAGCGGAGCGCCTCTTCTAGCTTCCCTCTTCAAGCTCCAAAACCTAGCTATCCTCTGCACCAATTCCAGCTTTTTTCTCAACGAAATCTTTGAAATGTACTCCATCACGCGCGTAACGATGTAGGCTGGGACTAGTGGAGGACCCGATCGGTAGGTCTTTTTGTATGCACGAGCTTCTTTGGACAAGGTCGATGCGCCAGCACCACCGGATGGACGAGAACCGTCTGCGCCCGATCGAACGACGAGCTTGATGCTTCTCTTCTTTGTCTGATCAGGCGCTTCTACGGCGCTGGACAAGCCTTGCGCTCGCGCAGAAGTCAACCCCTCCTGCTCGTTTGCAGCAATCTCCTTGATCCTAGCCTCGCTAGCCTTGGCCAGCCTGATCTTTCCCGGCAAATGCTTGTGGCAATAAGCTTTCAAGACCTCGTTTGATTCTTCCTCTTCCGAATCTGATCCAGCTCCTGCCGCTCCATTGTGAGAGTGGTGCGTGGCTCTTTGCCTCTGCGATCGGACCAGCAATTGAGCTTTGCGTGCGCATGTGACGTGAAACGCCGTGAAGCAATGCTTGTTGTCGCACTGAATGCACGCGCCTGTCCGGTGTTGGCATAGGTAGCATTGCTAGGTATACGAGTGGGGGCGAGCAGAGCACACAGCCTCAGCAAGGAGGGCAAGCGTGACGACGATCCATTCACGCGGGTCTTCAAACTCACCAGCTTCCATCTCGCTTTTGGGATGCGCTCTACCGAGTCGATCGGCTCCATGTACACCGGATTGCTGACGCCCGTCTCGGGAATCCAAACCGCACAAAGCAAATGTGCCCATTTGCCCTGAGTCGTCTGTTTGAAAGCGCCGCCCTCGTTTGGGCATAGCACGCACGACACTGCTCTATCGGGCGAGACTGTGCACTTCCTGCACAACCACTGACCTTCGGGGATATAAGGAATGCCGTAGCAATCTTGATGGACTGCCAGGTTGCAGCCGTCGCAGAAGACGATGGCGTTGCTGTTCTCGCACTCTGCGTCCGAGCATATGGCGCACTCTGTATCTTCCCCATCAGATCCTTCATCCTTACCATCCGCTGCTCCTTCTCGACCATCCCGCCGATGGGAAGGCACGCGCTTGATCAGGTCGAACCATTCCTTTTCGAACCGATCAATGATGATCTCGAACGACTCGTAGGAGATCTGATCCAACTGATCCTTGCGTCTATCCTGATTCAGAGCATCCAACCACTCCTTGTCCTGCTCGTCCATATCGTACTCGACCTGTCTATTCCTTTCCATCTCCAGAGGCTCGACGTGTCGCAGGTAGTGCTCCGGCTTCTCAAAGGGGGTGCCGTCGTTGTAGCCGTAGGCGATGTAGTGCGCATCCATCACGGACACGTGCGCCATGGCAGACGGCGTGGCAATGGAGCTGGAAGCGCTCTCATTGGGCGCAACGGCACCGCTCAAGTGTGTGCCATCGTTGCGATATGCGAGAGCTTCCGATGCTGGGACTTTGCGAAAGGAGACGCGTGGCAAGGAGGATGCCAGAGGCAAGCTGTTGGGCGTCGAAGAGGGCATGACCGCTGAGCTCTCTTGCGGACTGCGTACACAGAGCAGGAAGGGGTCCCTAATCGTGGGGGGGCTGTATGCGCTGCTACAGCGATCGCTAGCTCAAAGACCACGTCGACACCAAGATGTCTGACGCGCGCTCATCCGCCAAGCCAGGAGCAGTTGAGGGGGTGATGGCGGAGTGGTCAGGAATGGCAGGTAGGCTTCAAGATGGCTGGTAGCATGAGAGCTGGCGCAGTAGCGTTGCGTAGGCTCGTACTTGGGAAAGGCGATCGTCGCGTAAAGCGCGTCCTGCGCTGAAGCTGAGCTGGCTGACAGCGTTCGCCTCACTTGCAGGGGCGCTAGTCTAGACCAGAGCGCCAGAGAAGCGAGGGCGGAGGTTCACAACAAGTGTGACTGCTGAGTGCGCGGGGAGGATATGCGCTGGTGAAGCCTGAGAAGAGAGGAATAGCAAGTCTAAGGTGGACTCGAACCAGGATCGTTGGACGCGTGATGCTGGAGAGCGCGGAGTGCAGCGTCGGGCGTGTTGCTTCGCGTGCTGCTGATGCGTTAGCTGATTCGCCGTGCAGCTACCGCGTACCGCCGCGGGGGGCTTGCATGTATTATAATCACGAATAAGCTGTTGTAACGCGCAGGCTACAATTCGCATCACGTGAGGACTTTTCGTCGATCCATGCAGCCATGGCATGCGCGTGTGCGCCGCTTCACTCGACTCACACTCGCCGCGGAATCGCCGCCTCTGGAATCGAATCGTGAATCATCAGCGCGAGTCTGAGTCTGAGTGGTGAGTGCGTGATGAGTCTTGGAGTGCGAGTCTCGAGTCTGAATTCACGATTCTCGGATGCAAGTCGAAGTGACAACGGTGCGAATGTGCTTCCAGCTTCCTGCCACATCACCACAACACTCGGACTTCGTTCAAGCTTCTAGACACGCCTCCTCCCACATCAGTCTCAGGAGGCGAGCGACCGCACGCTACAGTCCTCACGCAACTACGCACACTCCTCATTTCAAAGGTCGCGCGCGCGCTACTCACCCTCCTTTTCATCCTTCAACATGGCTTCCGGAATGGGCTTTGCGGGAGGTGAGGGGTGCGAGATGTACGGGCTGGTCGAAGCGGAAAGGCATGAGCGTGGGCAAATGGCAAGGGGGTGGGCAATAGTTGGGGCTTTCGATGCGGGGGCTTGTGGGGTCTGCTGCTGAGCGCATCATCCAGGGACTTCTCTTCGACTCGGGCAGAAGAGCTGGAGCAGAAGCAAAGATGGACGTGACCTTGCTCTTAGCAGAAGATTGCCCCCCACGCGCTTGCATCTACCATCCGCTGTCCCCCTCCCATCCGCCACTCGCGCTCTGCTGACACGCTTGCAAAC